TATACTATGATTTTTAGTTATAAAGATAGATTAACTTACTCGCTATTTCCCTATTGTAACTTGTCTAGGCATCCCTTGGATGGGATGTACCGATGCCTCTCCAAACTCTCCATAGTTACTTACATAGGTCGATTCTTACCTGCAGAGAGAAAAATAAAATTCATTAAAACAGGCCTTACACAATAAAATAAAAATGTAGTATAAATATTCGAATCTTAATATACACCCCAAACAAACTTACATACAAAAAATAGAATCGTTGCACACTTTTTACTCTAGAATAATAACATCTTTAAAAAGTTGTTAAGACATTAACACAAATGCTACCACTATCATAACATTTGTATATAACTTTTATTAAGTACATGAGACAAGTCTTCATCTTAAAACACCCAATTACAACATAAAAAAAACTTAACGTTAATGTCAGGGAATTTTGTCAGTAACAAATGATGGTCGAACCGGGTGATACCTTGACCTTGATCCCCCATCAACGCGACCTTTTAAAATCGCTTAAGGAAAACGTGAGGTCAATCACCGGCATACCTCCAAATTTTCAGTCGCCACGGTTGCCGGTAGTTTCTAATCGCTAATTGAGAAAGAGAATTCCCGACTTTTTCTCTTAAGAAAATTTTAATACAAAATTACATTAACATAGAGCTAGGTAACGTATTAGACGAGCTTCTACGGCACCTAACTATCGACTATCCAACTCTGCCGTTCTTGCTAGTACTTTTAGACGATGCACCTGCGAAGTTTTGTCCCGTTTAAACTTTTAACTAGAAAAGTTACCCATTGCAGGAATTTGTTTATATATTTATATTATATTTATAAATCACACGTACACTTAGAAATTAGCCTAGAATTTACTTTGCATAAATTTTAGCTTAATGATCACTGTGTTTGATACAATTTTATAATTATAAAGATTTCTCGGTAATATAACCCTTCGTGTTAATCCGTCTTATAAGCTGTATTTGAAATTACATCCTAATCATTTCATTAGTTGTGGCGTGGAGAGCGATAAAACACAAACAAATTTTAAAATTATTTAATACACTCGATTATACAGTTCAACACTGTTTTAATATTATAAATCCTTAGCGACGTAAATATAAAAAATTAAAAAACGAATCCAAAAAACGCCTTACGTTTTAACTAAAACGTGGTCAGCTACTTTTAAAAGGAAGAGAACAATATATTGCTAGTTCAGTCTTTGCATTATGAGAAGGATTTTTATCCCCAAAGAAATCAATAGAAAAGAGAGACACATAGATTATTTTTGTTGTATTAGCGACTTAAATGTAATAATTGGTAGAGGCGCAATTATACAAACAGTTGATGCATATGATAATGATCCAATTCCAATAATTCAATAAGTACGGTTTACAAACTACAAAAAGTTATCGTAACTTCATCGTCATCATTCTAGACCCTTAGAGTCCTGAACATAGCCCTTCCCTACGACCTACTTCCCTACGATTCTGAGCCAAATGAATCCATCCACGATCATTTGCAAAGGGCGTCACTCTATCTAGTGATGGTCGTCGTACTTGATACTAAATGTGACTAAACGTCATGTTATCTTTTTGATAGTTCGTCAACAACTCTTCATAATAACTAGTTGACATTTTCATACAGTACCGTGATCAATCACCTAACGGTACTCAATGACTTTTATGGTATTTTTATACATTCTTAAAAAAGAAGTTTTTAAGCGAGAGCTTTTTGTTTATGAATACATCAAATTTATTTTATTTTCCTATATTTCAGCAAGCATAACCTTTAAGATGGTGTTTGAAATATTAAATTCGATGAATGATTATCGAATTTATGGCGCTCCAATTATGGAGATTGGTTTAATTAGAAGCAAAGCAGTCAGCCGCTGGGCGGTAATTTTTTGTAGATTACATCTTGCTTGGTATATAATGTCATAAATATCATTTAGCAAGATGTTATCTATAAAATATATTAGCTAACTGGTCTAACAAATTATCAAACCAAAAAAAAATTAAATACAGCAATCAAACACGTCCTATGACGTTAAAATATCGCAACAATCTCAACTTGCTATGACGCGTTTCTCCTAAACAAGTTCTTTATCAGATTCGCCATCGCTACTTTTATTCTCAAAACACGTGTCAAACTTAGTTACAGTTGTTATTTTAACTCCGAAGGCCATTCCGACTTTATCTAACGGACAGAACTCTTCTTTTAATACGTTGCTATAACTCTGTAACTCTCTTTAAGGTATAGGTCTGATAGTAGTGTTTACGATATGAGATGTGAATTTGTACCACTTATATTGATGTCTCTTTTTTTGCCTTTTTGTCTGGCCGTCTGTTCCATTCTAGTTTGCAATTGGTATCAAATCTACTTCCAGATGCGGTAGTGATTTAAAACTTGTCTAAGTTCTGTGCTACGATGACTATGTAAAATCAGCTATTGTCCTCTATTGTTTCTAAACCAACACAGCGTTTAGAGACACGAATGCAACGGTGACTTAGCTATGTAAAGAACTCTGGAAGAAAGACAACAATGCGTCTTGCTGAGCAACTTTACAATTCCAATCCCCGACCTGAGATCGTGAACCAGCGCTATTTACTGGGCCACCACTGCCATAAAACAGGAATGGATATTAAATGCAACATATTCTCAGCGTCAATCATTTTCTTTGTCCTTTGAGAACCATTCAAGACGCTCGTCCCTATACGGAAAGAACCCAGCATGCTACTTGAATACATTAATAAAACTGTGGACAAGTAGTGAACACATAAGCAAGAAATGTGAAGCAAATCCAAGACTTATTCATACTTCAAACGCTAACAGCGATGCAGAAAACTTATTGCTAACTACAACCAATCTGTTAGAGCCACACACACTGGAAGGAATCAAATCGAGGACATTATACATGTTGCTCTTTTAACTTGGTAAAACTCGAGTTAATTTATACGCGCGACGAAACCAAATGAACTTCTATAAAATCGTTGTCATCTCCTGATTTGATGGAAAATTTTGGTAATTTCAATCCGCTGCCAGTCTCGACCGTACTATATTTGTTTTACTACATTTCGGCAATTTTTTATACCGATGTACATGAATGTCGACTAATGGAAACTCGCTGTTGCAGGCATATTGCCAACCACTGCGCGAGGCCCCGCTTAATAACTATGGCTTGTCTAAAGTAAAAGTGCTACCCCATTCGAACTGTTATAGTGTATATAGTGTTACGTTTTTCGTAAGAAGTTTTGTGAGATGGCAAATGTGCGGGCGGTTCACCTGATGTTAAGTGTAAACCGCCGCCCATTTACAAGAGGGTTGCAAATGCGTTGCCACAATTTAATAAATTGGGCCCCGGCTACCTTACAGACGAAATGCAGTAGTAAAACACTTCCACTTCACGACAGTGTCCTGTGAGGTCGTGGTATTTAAACGGCCCTGCCCGTTCGTGCAAATCTCCTCTGTGTAGCAATGTTATCAGTTTCAGGCTGCCAAAAGAGTCGTATCCATATACTGCCCACGTGGTCCTAAAGCTGCTCCCACACAACGCCGGCGCCCGCGGTATGTGTGCCGTCGACCGTAGCAAGGACGCCAGCCCTAGCGCACGCGAAAACTTCGGACTTGCGACAACGATGAACGTCTAAATATTATTTGCGATTTACATATTTTGAATGAATGATTCACAACGACAAGCCGATATATATATATATTGTGTAAAACTCGTGTGCCCATTTTTCTACAAATTTTAAATTTCATATTTAGTGCAGAGGATAGATAGCATTCCGCCTGGGGAAGTGCCAGGGCTGCACAGAAGACCGAGGTAAAGTGCAAGTGTAGTACTTCTGCGATTAGTTTGGTGAGTAAGGTGCCCACTTTATTGAAATGTAGCAACGCATTTGTAACCCTACGAGTGTTGGGGAGTTTTGCCAGAGGGTATTGTAATCTTCTGAAGTAAATATACCTGTTTTTCTCATTGCATTATTTTATGAAAGCAGTCGAAATGTATATCTCTCATGGTTGAAAATTCTATAGTTTACTATAAGAAAATACGCACATGACCACAGCCTCAATGCTTCGGCGAGCGTAAACAAATTAAAAAGAATAATAAAAATAAGAGCATGGAGTACTAAAAGGGGATTTCTGTTTCACCACGACTATGTACTGGCGACCAGGCTATGTACCCTATATTTGCTCATTGGAGTCCGTGATGGAAGCAGTAATCCTGTACCTGTGAGAGTATAAGTCATGTGAGAGTCATTGACCCTTTTTAGAAAGAAGCTTAGGCTCATGTTTTGTGAGTACAGGTATATTCGCGTGGTCGGGCCACGCAGCAGCTTCGACTGTTGCAACAATGGGCAAACCCCGTCCGGTTAAATACCACGACCTCACAGAAGACCGGCGTGAAGAGGAAGTTTAATACTTTCGCGTTTCGTCTGGTGATGAGGTAGCCGGAGCCCAATTTTCAAAAGGTTGTCAACGCATCTGGAACCCTCGGGTGTATCAGATGTCCAGGAGCGGCAGTATTCGCTTAACATCATATGAACCGACTCACTTGTCAACTTTCCACATTAAATGTATATATACACATTATATATATATATATATATATATATATATATATATATATATATATATATATATATATCTATATATATGTATATATATATATATATATATTTATTTTATTTATTTATTTATTTTATACATCAACTTACAACTATCATTACAGGCTGTACCTAATGCGATAGTGAAGTTCGAATACAATTTAACATATAACTATACTTATAACTAAAACTAAAACTAAACACTCAGAACATGGATCGTAGCCAATGTGAACTCGTTCAATGAGCAATGGAATAAATCTAATTCATTAGCTACTGTATTTAAAGTACAAAACGCGCGAGTCAATGGTGAAAAACGTAATAAATTAGTCCGTGACCTAGGTACAGATAATAGCATCGCATATATATATAACCCCGTTTTCCATAGAGGATATTTTATTCAGCGCCCCCAAAGTCCGCAGTGTACGCGGTCGCCACGCAAGAACAGATTCGGTATGCGTTCCGTTCTCCATTAACCAAGCGGGCGCAATGCGAGCGGGCGCTTTGCATCGGCGAGCGCCCACAAAAACGCGCGACCGGCGGCCTCAGGTCCGCCCGTGGCCATCGCTCGATGCTAAGCATTGTCTTCTTGTTGCAATATGAAAATTTCACGGAGTCCATTGCGTTTAGTTTCGTTTTCGCCGGACGTTTCGAATAGTCCATAGAGGTGACGATGGCAGGAAAGAGTGAGGTATTTTTTTTACAATATTGTTCTTTATAGCATCTATGGTCATAAGGCAGTCTGCAGACCCGTGATTAAGAGACTTTTGATGTCCATAACCTTTTGGGCTCTGTCTAACATCATTTTCTGCGTTTATTTGGACGCCAAACCACAGTGGAATACTTATTAATACTTGTCATCACTTAATACTTATTTGTAGCGTCAGTAAATAAAATCATTAGAATTTGTTTTATATAATCAATGTCTTTTTTTTTTACTAAATCTATCTTGCTTCTATACTATATTGCTTCTTATGTCGAATGCATTTTAATAATTAACAGTCACTACATAATATAAAACAAATCGTCCCTCTGTCTGACTCTATATATGCTTAGATCTTTAAACTACGCAACGGATCTTGATGCGATTTTTTTTACTAGATAGACACCCAGTTTCCGAAAGCGCAATCAATTTTAATCTACGATAAATCTCTTGTCAAACGTTGTTTAACATGGTCTGAGTTGTTAGAACGTCTGAAAACAACATTGATTTTGATTTGCAATTAGTCACTGATTAACGGACAATCAACAGAAAATCGAGTTTCTGAAAGCGTTTTTCGGTGGTCAACGAGCTGTCAAAAGTTTTATTAAGTAATCTGTCAATTTGAACGATCAATCGTTGGTTAAAATGTATTTTATCAAAAATCTTAGTTTTTATTAGAAATAAACATAATTCCCTAATACGTTGTAAGGAAATTAATGTGTTCTATTACCTATTTATTATTTATTATTATGCGAACATATCATGCGATTAGAAAAAATAGAAAATGCAATTCAAAAGTTAATAAATAATATGGATTCTTTCTTTTTATAATACTTACTTGTTTATTATGGATAAAAGTTCATTTTTATCACATTCTGTAATGTTTTTTCTTGACATTTTGCATGTATTTATATAAATTAAATTTTATTATAGCTCGGATTTTTACGTTGGCAATCACACGGTGACAGGACTGGATAGTGACATTAATTTTTGTTTAAAAAGGGACAGCTATACAATAGAAAGAGTTAGTTGAAGTAAATCATTCATTTCATTCATTATCGTTGGTTATACAGTGATTAGCTAATTTTTCTTGAACAAACCTTCCAGAAACCCAAGGCAGTTTAACAAGAGATTAACAGCTGATCATTTTTGACATAGTGTTATGTGATTGCTGCTTTGATTGGCCTTTCGGAAACTGGGCAAGAGTGATTCAAGAGGAAGGTTTATTTATGTAGAATACATTACACTCGTGCCAAGCCGGGGCGGGCCGCTAGTTATATGTATTATGAAATCCGTTTCCGTCAGATAAGTATATATCTTCACATCATTTATTAAAACAAATAAATATCAATTTTAACACTAGCGTGCTCAATTTCTTAACAAAAGACTTGTCACTTACGAACTGTTCAAAATTCGCTTTTTTCTGCGCATTTTACTTGTCCCGTTATAAAACGGATTTAATTATACAAACGTCAAAACAAACAGTGCCACGGGCGCCTTGGTAGTTTGCATCTGCCGACGCTTTTACAATAAGTAAACATTTTTCGGAACAAAACATACACGTTTCCTGAAACGCGTGAGTGACAAAGGACGACTTGACAATGGCGTCGCAAAACCTTCGCTCCGCTTTCTTGTAGGTACTTGGATTTGACCTTTTACGTTTCAAAGATTTTAGCCGCCGATGTATACAGCATTAGCCTTTATGTTACACGAAGTTAACGTTTAAGGTTACGTTATTCGTCTTTTAAGTATAATCCAAACACTCGTAAGCCAAAGTGTGTATGACTTTATATACGATTATTATTAATGACTTAAGGAATACAGTTCACGTAATAGTATTCGCTATTGCATGAATGGGCAGGTCCATCCAGCGAAGTACCGCTACCTCACAGAAGACCAGCGTGAAATGGAAGTGTTATACTTCAGTATTTTGTCTGGTGAGTGAGGTAGCCGGGGCCCACTTTCTTAAAGGGTGGCCACGCATCTACAAAGCTACGGGTGCTGCTTATGTTTATCTATTGTTGGCTGTTTTTACTTAACATCAGGTGAACCAGTTCGATTGCCACATTCTTACATGAAGAAAAAACAGATGGTTCTCATCGCAAACGCAGATCTCTTAAAGTGTAGCTGAACATTAACTATCGAATACGTCTTGCTTAGACCAACGCTTGAATCCATGCATTATCCAATAAAAAACACCCAGGCACAATCCATATTTACCCACCTTTAGTGCCTCTCAGATATGTTTACCGACCTAATCAATTTTCCACCGCCGCGCGTGTCTCTCCGCGTCCAAAAATAATTTACTGCGCAAAACACTCACCGGAGAAAAAACCGTCGTCTAAGTAAATATCTGTCTGTTTTGACAGAAATTACGACGAAAAACGATCGCTTATTACTCTTCAAAAGGATATAACGCGTCACGATTACACGTGTATACAGCGTGTCGTTACAACCGCGACAATAAATGAACACACGTCTAACGCTTCTTTCCAATAATCATAAAAAAATATAAAACGTTAAATATACACAATTAAAAAAAATATTTTTCAAACAAACTAATTAAATAAAAAAGAAACAAAATTTGTAACATCCTATACAACTACAACTGACTGATTCATACATTCAGAGACGTTTTCATTCGTTGCCACAACGTCGCATTACAAGTCTCTCCTTCTCAACAGTATGTTTTATCTCTTTTAAATTCATTCAACCCATTCATATACTTTGTGACTTTTACAAATGAACTTTACGTTACAATTTTATACGTAAGGATGTTCTAAAAATGATTGTTTTTGTAAAATAAAATAACTCAGTAAATATTTATGTTTAAAGAATGAAAATGCTTAATACAATTTTAAAAAGTTATCCTCTATATGTGTGTTCATTTATTGTCGCGGTTGTAACGCCACGCTGTATAAATATTATTAGCGCTTATGTCCATAGCTGTAGTATACTGAACGCTTTAATGGACATCGTCGCCCGTTTTTTTCGAATCTGTATGACAGAGTACGAGGCCCTAATAGGCTGAATCGTTTGACATTACCCGAGAGCATTCTTATCGACATGCTCACCTCGCTCTGTAAAAAGGGAGGCTGTTTCTGCATCTATTTTTATATAGCAATGGTTTAGGTTACCTTGCCAATTGTGTTGTGAATTCGATCCACACACGAGGCAACAATTGGGAGTCACTTTTGAATATTGTCTACCTCGTTTATAGGTTAAATATGTGACAGTTATGGTTTAACTTATTTGTGTTTATATATAAAGCAACCTTTATCGACATCTGGAGGTTTTTTTTTGGTTCGATCTTTCACTGTTGGCCTTTAGGAGGCCTTTATAGATGCACTGGGCTCTGAGGGCGCCTAACATGAACCTGGTTTATGGGTGGTTAGCAGGAACTTTGTACTTTGTTTATACCCTTGGTGGTTCTTAGAAGTAGTGCATGCTACAAGCTAAGAAGATCCAGGATTCAAAATAGCTCGTCTTCCGATACGTTTTGTTACAAATATAGGTAAGTCAATAGCAAGATTGATAAACTACGTCCAATCTCACGGCACCGTTATAACATAAGCGATCTTTTATTATTTAACCGACGAGGATTACGAATCATATGAACAAGTAAATTAATAATATTTGACCCAGGACTGAAAGCCAAAATATTATCCGATAATGTTACAGATGCGTGGCAGATATTCGGCCTCCCCGAAATATCACACACCACATAAGCTTCTGATAACCGGTTTTGAAAGGAGCTCTATCTGAGCCAAGTATTACGATGTATTCGGTTTGGGTTAGCCAAATGTTTGATCAAAAATGGGACCGTCATTGAAATCGCTCTCAAACTTTTTCATTGGTTATTTGTTCACATTTGAATCTACATATTTTTCTTTATCATAAGTATTTAAAAATGTTATTGCTTAAAAATGTAAGTAAGTTATTCAGTTTGCGTATTTAAAAGAATAAATAATACAAGACGGAGATCATCTAAACATTTGGCCTACACGATACACGATATGTGTGGTAGGGCCACTCAAATTTTCGCTGTTGCACGAATCACAGAAGAAATCCTCACAGAAGAACGGCGTGAAGTAACCTGTCATACTTCTGCGTTTTTTGTGTTGCGTTGTTGCGACTAGTGAGTGAGGCGGCCGAAGCCCACTTTATTAAAAGGTGACAACGCATTTGCAACTTAATACGTAAATAACACGACTTTAAATAAATATGATTCGATGTGACAATTTCCGAAGCCCCAAATACTGAAGGCTGATCGTTTGACAATGGTGAAATCTTTGATACACACCCACTTACGCATGCAAGGAGAAACAATCAAAACATACAGGGGATTTGCATTTTCGAGAACGTTCTGCGTCTAGGCATGCCTTGAATGTTTCGGCCTCGAAGCGCCATTTTTTTGAAGGAATATATTTCGATTTTGATCCTATTACAATATATAAGCATACTAAATGTATATAAAAGTTTAGATAATTATTATGAGCAATTGTTTTTGAAGGCTTTATAAAACCATAATATAACATTTCAGCGCATATTTTTACACAATGTTATCTAGTCTCAAATTAATCAAAACTTGTGCTATAGCTACGAGATAACAGATAAACATGCTTAACTATATTTTCTTTTGTAAATTAATACCTATTATTAACATATGAACACTAGGAGAAAAATGTTTATTGTCAAAAATATAAGTAATTTAAACGTGAACTTTCTTATTTATATATAATCTGTGGAGGTGTGAGCGAGTTCATTGCATTGCCGCCTGTCGCTATCTGGCATTGAACTTTCAATTCAATATTTCATTATAATCTTTATTTACATATATAGAAAGCATTAAGTCAACTTTTTAAATATATTAATAAGTTTATCATCTTCTAAATGTTAGGAAGGATTCATTTCCATC